GTTTGGTTTCATATAAATATACGTAGAGAACATACGAATAGCGAAACTTTCTCTTCCATCCCCATCATCACGAATCGTATCCGTCGCCTGTCACAATTTCGTCCGCCCGCGCTTTATTCTAAATGTCTTACGCATACAGTCAATTCTCGTTAAATCGGTTTAAAAAATTTCTAATTTCAATTATTCAAAGAATGTACATTTTAGTATTCATTCAGTACTCAACTTAAATGGATTAAATCTATTTCTTAAATAGTTGGTTTATCGGATCATCCCTAATTGTATGTTATATTGAATTATATTATAATGCTTGACTGTCGCGTAGATATATTTAGATATATAACGATTTTATAATAATATATATGTACAATTTGTCTATACACATGTGAAATGTCAACACAAATACAGAATATCAGTTATATGATATAGTTACATATCATCATATTCAAATATTACCAAAAATAAAACAGTTATCACATCATCATCATTATACAACTGTTAGCTATATAAACACATACGTCTAAATAGAAACAATTAAATTATATCATTTCAAGTTTTTCATTAAATGTACAATTCTACTTTTTGAACACGGCATCCGATTTTCTACGACGTACAACAAAAAACTGCCTATATATAGGTGATATTATATATTATAATAGTACTATAGGTATTAGGTATATTATAATTATACAAATATGTTAAAGCTAAGCTGTTTAGTCATAATAGAAGAAACAATTAAGTTTTGTTTCCATTTAAAAAAAAATTAAAATCAATATTTTGTCAACTTTTATGAACGCGACAAAAGACATAAAAACATAATAAACTACAGCTGGTATAATATATCAAAAACATAACGTAGACGAATTACATACATTATTCATTAGGTATACCGGCTCATATAAATGTCAAAATCGTGTCTGAGATAATGTGTTAAAAAAATGAAATTCAAATAAGTGTTTAGTGCCAAACATATTAATTTTGCGATTACTGAGATTTACGGCACGAGTGCAGGTCTTCCAACAAATTTCGCGACGCCTACATAATATATTGTATGTATATAGGTAATCGTATTACATTTGCCTGCTTATTTTACTATAATTATATTCACGCGAAATACGTTTTGTCATAAATACGTACACTATTTTATACGATACATATAATATTATGGTAGATATCATAATTCATAATTACCTCAATAACAGCTCTACTCTCAAATAATATTAATATAATTTACTATAGATATATTCAATATTAAAATATATATTATACGCTATATACATGCGGTTTGTGATTGTGTATATGATGGGCTGCTGCAGTGTTAAGCGATCTTGGCAATGGCTCTGAACGGTATAGGCAGACACGGTTTATATTGCAAACCGAGCCGAATGGACGACACCGTGAACAAGAGCCTGACGAATCATCATCGTACACCAGGTATATTATAATGCGATATAGGCAAATGCGGTAGTTCATGGTTCACGCGGAAATCGGGTATAAAATTAGCTGCGTCGGAACATTATATACGTGTATAACAATATTATGTACTGTAATATAATATATATATGTATACATACATATACATATATTTTCGTTATTGTTCTATTGTTCCTCGAGCACAACGATTTCCGTTTATACATTTTTACCTATTAATAATAATATATTATAATATACGATCATCTTTCATTCGACGTGGTTGGACGTCGAGAGTCGACTTTAAACACTTATATACTTGATCGTATTCCACGGCTGTCTGTGCAGTAATAATAATTATAATATATTGTATTATATTTCTGTATGTATATTATAAAATGTATTATGTGCTGCTACAGTAGTGACTAATTGACAATATAAAATATTTAACGTCACCTCCATCGCCACCCGTCGCTTGTATTATATTGCATAGGTATACTTATTTCATTTCAACAAGTTATATTTAGATGACATTGGTTTTCCGCGCAAATAAAAAGTGTATTTTTTTTATTAATCATTGCGAAATAAATATATTAAATATGCTGTTATTCGATATTTCCACATTTTTTTTCGTACCGTAAAAATAGACATGATAATTTATTGTTTAAATACGAATACATTTTAGAAGGTTATATTCTAAGCTATTCTATTATTATTATTATTATTATTATTTATCATTATTGTTTTTTATTTCATCTGAAATGGTCATTCAAAATTTGCCAAATGTCTCGGTTTAATAAATTCTGCAGAATTCAATACACAAACTCTCACACATAAATAATTATGTACACCAACACGTAAAATAAACATATTTTGTCAAGAATAATTTAAATAGACACCTACAGTAATCACTGCAACTTACTATGTAAGTTATCACTCAGGTTTGAATTTTTACTTTTTTATATTCTTTGTAGAAGTGCGTATAAGTTAATAGCGGGGGAATATTTCCGGAAGGTCCGTCTTAACGGTGTCTATTTGTATTTTTTGTTCATTCAGCCATTATGGTGACTAACCGCCTGAACGAATGAACTCATATGAATATCTGATTTTCTTTTCAAACCCTGTATAACCGGATGCATGGTAAATGACCCCGACCTTCGAGCGTTAGGATTTAAATGCTTCAGATCTAGAAGTAACGTTCGGTTTCGGTCAATAAATATCACATGTCATCGCATTCATCACAACAAAGTACAAGATATCAAACTGGAGTTCAAATACAGATAATTCAGATATCAAGAGATTTTAAAAACATTAATCAAAAATATTGTGTTTAAAAATGTCGACCTCAATTGTTGATGTTAAATAAGTTTTGTCAATTGAATACGCAGATGAAATAATTTAATATATATACTATATTTAAATAGTTAGGAATAATAAAAATATTAGGAATTTTCGATAAAAATGAACAGATATTTTCTTCAGTAAAAAAAATAAAAAAATAGACACGGAGGTAATCAAAGTTATTCAAAACTAATTACTTAATAAAGATTAAGGTAAAAACTATAAAAGTAAATTTAACCCACTGCTGTCGTTCAAAATTAAATAAACATCATAATTTAATAGAAGTAATTAATACTGTAATTAGCTAACCTGCTATCTACAAGTTACAAAATATATATTACATAATGTACATGTCTTATTTATGATGATAATAATATTATACAATTTAATGCAGGAACACGATAGTGATCGTATATTTACGATTACCACGCGATTTGGTTGAATATCGGTTTTAATTTTTAATTTGACTACATTGACTAATTTTCAGGCGTACCCGCAAAACGTGTTCATCAGAATTGGAATGAACGAGTAGGACGTCGAACAACTGGACAATTATAATTGTGATCATATATACATTTTTTTCTCTTCAAATAAGCCTTCACAAGTTGCCAGACAGTATACATGACACGTTGCGGACAATCGATTGTTCCGGTTAACTAATCATTCACATCAATCAGTTGCAGCCCTTAGATTTCTCATTGGCTTAAGGCCATAACGCTCCCAACCTAGTTTACTATTTTTGCGTGTACTTAAACTATATTATATTAATGTTTGCAATACTTATATACACACATAAATGTGTGTATGTGTGTGTGTGTGTGTGTGTGTGTAGGGGGTATACATGATACCGGATGATCCGGTCACGACGTAGATCTCACGAACGTTCATTTTTATTTTATTATAACCATTTTTTTTTTTTTTTTGGGTCATCACACCTCTGCGAGGCCGTTACCGTTTTTCCGTTTCATATTATTTTGGATATATTATTATTCTATATTATTATTTATCATATATTATTATATTATATACACTGACGACTAACGTTGATATAATTAACATTACAAACACTATATATATTTAATGCATATTATACTATACATTAGTATATATAGACTTATAGAAGTTATACAGTAACTATACTAAATGTATGTAAATACTGAGCGGCAGGAGTGGCGAAAATTATTTGTTTGGTGAAGATCGAATAAAATAAATATAATATTTTAAAAATACGTCTACACCACGACTGTCCTCGAGGTAAAAACTGTAACGATTGGTGAGATGAATACAAATCCCGTAGTAAATTATAATGGGATCGACTTTTAAATATATGATACCTATCCAGAATGGGCGTGATGACGTGACGTACGTCTTATAAGGATTTACGATGTATGTGTATTATTTAAGTAGTGACGTGGTACAGGACTACTACAGGGGTTTATACATTTATCAAAAGGAACCATTTGTATATAAACAGACGACGCATGCAATAAAACAAAGTATGGATAGACAATGAATTGGTTTATCTGATAATTTTGATATCATAAAAATTGTTGAAAATCAATACATATTTCACAAAAGGTTAGGTATTAATTTTTTTTATTTATCCCGAGACCGCATCAATATTATACTTGTTATAACATTTTAAGAGTAAAATAACATTGTTTGTTAACAGATGTACCCAGCGTACACTTATAATAATTTATCATATAAGAATGATATATAGAAAACGTACTAATGTATACAAGAAAAATTACAGTAAGACTTCAATGTACTAACATGTATTATAACAGAAGAAACTGTTTAATATAATAAACGAGGATTTTATTATTATCATAATTAATATGAAAATTTCTTTTGACGCAGGTACCTACACCTATAACATTTATTATTATAGTATATAAATAATTTTATTAAAATAAATCATTTGTAAACATTGATTAAAACAAATGTTATTATACACTTCAATTAATACTTCTACTATAGCACTAATAAGTAATAACCATGTAAATCATTCGCTATTATGCTCAATAATGTCATAATAAATATTTATTTATTGAATATACGAGCTTATTATTATTAAGTTTCAAAAAAATACCTTAGAAATAATGGATCTGTATTTGCACGAGACATTAACCGCCTAATTAGTTCATTACTCGTGTAATTGAAAGAATAATAAAAAAAAGAAGCAGTTGTTTTAGTTGCACTCTGAGGAACCTTATATATAATGTGACAACTCAAAAGTATTCGCTTACCTAGACTTCGGTACGATCGTGCTGTTTGCTCGCCTACAAGGTTGCGTCTTGGACGCCGGCGAGGCGTGCAATCCGCCGCCGCTACCCTGCAGCTGCAGTCTCTGTTCCGCACGGTGGTGAGCGCTCTTGTCGTGTGCGTTGAACGAGTGCCTTCGCCTGCCATCTTCGGCCGCAGTACTATGGTAAGTTCCTCCACCGCCACTGCCATCTGATGCACCTCCGGCAGCATTCACCTTGTAAGTCTCACGTCTGAACTCCCGGAGCCAGCGAGTGAACGCACCGGCACCACCTCCGCCGACAACATTTGAATCCTCTCTGGAAATCAAAATGTACTTTATTAGAAACATAGTTTACTACAAAAAATTCGGAAAAAAAAGGTGCAAATTGAACTAACAGTTTCATGATTGGAGTTGAACTACTTTGTTTTTAAAATGTACTTAATTTAAGACGTAGACGCGTATGCGTGTTATTCTATATTGTTGTTTAACGTTTTCTTAAGTAAAACAAATTTTTATATTTTTGAGGATATTATTAAGCTTTTCTGACACAATACGTATCATATTATGTACAATGTGTATAGTATTTTATTTATGTGTAACGATTTAGGTATATACTTTATTATAGCTGGTAATGCACGTATTTGAACATGCCGCCGGGTGTATATAATTATAGTAGACATATCTCGCTACAGCTCGAGGTCTCAGCGGTCTCGCAGATTGATAATACTTGTAAATTGTGATTAAATAATTAGAGTACCAACCGTTATTATATACTTATTACTTTTATGTATATATTATATATAACACGCAAAATAGATATTATATTAAATATTGTATACTCGTATATATAATATATATATATATGTACTAGGAGTATCAAAATATGTTTTCTGTAGAGAGGGGCCGACGGAATTCTGTAGGTATTATATCTGTATTGCAGTATGAAATACGTTCGCGAGCTATTACAATATATTATAAAGGTAATATTTAATTTCGAATATTACACTTATACGATGCTATGGTCCTCGATACAGTCGCTGTAGCAACCATGCATACCTATATACATAATATAATATCCACCGTTCAGTCAAATTAAACCCGAGGACGAGTATATACTCAAAGTCTCAAACATAATATTATATACGATCGTAAGTCATATATATATATATACTTACTGGTGTCCCACAATTATATATAATATTATCATTATACGTTTTCCTCGTCCTATACACGAATTTTTTTGCACACCTTTTGTACGTAAATCTACAATATATGTTACATATACTATATTGAACATAAAATATATCATTGCAAAATAACTATATGATGTATACACCTGTTAAAGTCTGTTTTATACCATATAGGTTAAAAATTATATTACCGGTGTTACACATTACGCAGTATCGGAAGTACCAAAAAATGTTTCTGCGAAACCTCATGGTTTAAAATGTTTAAATTTTATACTACGTATTTAGCAACTACATGACGGACAAAAATTCAGAACTGCCGCAGGAGCACGTCTTAAGAAATACGTATATTAAATACATATACACGTGACTGATTGATTTTCACTTCTTTCGATCTTTTGTCAGAACTAACCACTAATAATTAACCGACAATCCCAATTCGGCGATACTGCGTCACGGGATTTGATGAACAACAACAATATAAAAAAAAAAACATCAATAGTTGTACATAAATTCAGGGATGGGAAAAATAAATCACTCATGTATTTTATATATAAATATAAAATACTTATAAGTTTTAAGTTTATTGCTGAATTTTATGACTTTAATATATATATAATAATTATGATAAATGCATTATAATATAAATAATACCTTTTAAATTAAATAATGATTGAAAAACCTCATAAAATATTATGTTAATCACAAATTTCAAAAAAATTGTTATTCTTGCTCGTCCTGGACATTGAATAATTCCTCCGAATATCAGTTATTAATTATTTTGTGTTTTGATTGTTATAATTTTTTTTTAAATATACATTAATTACAAAGCACAAAATCTATCTCAAATACAATTTATTGAAATACTTCTGCTCGTACCTGTGTACAGTATACAAGTGTACACAGTGTAGACGAATTATTTTCATATTATAATAGTATTAAATGAAACTGGTCATCATTTCATAGCAGCGACAACATACGATGAATGTTTTGCGATCGTGACGTCCGATTGCAAAAACACGAATAACAATCAATACAGACTGCAATAGTGCAATACAATTCTGCTGTGGACTATATGCGTTATTATTGAGAAATTAGTCGAATATAGCATATATGTATATATAATACACATATTTATAATGTACAAATATATGTGTACGTGGAGATGGTAATTTAATTTTAATAGTCGTTTATATTATATTCAGTCGAACAGACGATCATAATATACTATTATGATATATGTAATATTTCCATCCCCCACCACAGTTCTCAGCCAGGTGAAAAACGAACATAATAATCATGGTACGACGGGATATTCATAAGCGTATTTTGTTTCTCAATTATTATACATATGAGTTATATTATAATATCATACGTGTGTGTATATATCTATAAATTATATATTATTCTCGGTTCGTTTTTAATTGCTCAGAAATGCATTTGTAAGTATACGAGTACACGCAACGAAATAGGTACATCGCGCATTCTATCGCAGTCGTAGACAAAATATATCAATAGTCGCGCAAACCTATTATATTGCGTTTCGTAAGATGAGCACATCGTTATTTTATATCGAAGTACGATAACATCATCGTATAACGCACCACGTTGTGCGTACGCAATTTTCGACGTAGCACAAACCCCGTGCGTATAACATGTTTCTTGAATCTCGGAGATTTTCGTAAGATACTCGGCAATCATAACTCCGTGTAATCATAATTATACGCGCGGCACAATCGCGACTCGTCGACAATGCGGATTTATATAATAGTCAATACTAGGACACCGAAACATAGTATATATATATATATATATATAAACCGCGCTCGATTGTCAAATAAAAATCTCGCGAAGATATTCGATAGTCATTTTTTTCTTTCTTTTTTTTCTTTTGGTGCCTGCTATATTCCACCATAGCCTTCGCCGTTCGATACATTATTGTCATTACATTGTACACACAATATTTTTGCAACATGGGTGTTTGTGTAATAATATACAACTCAATAACCCGACCTTCTCCCTCGCTGTCTTTCTCATTCCCTTTCTCTCTCCCTCTCTCTCTCTCTCACTCATTCTCCTATACACCCGCTGCAGCACGCGCAGTGTTTCTGTTTCCTTTATGTCTGCAGCGCCATGATGCCGAAAGTCGGTCATTCGTTTCCAATACACGTTGATTTAATGGACATCGATTTGGTCACGGGACGTTTGCCATTATGGAAAAAACACTAGTCGCGAACAATTTATTAGACAACGAGATTTATTGTAAAATACCATTTGGAATATTTTTATTATATTAATATTTATAGTATGCAAGTTTCATATAGGCTTACAAGCGGTCCATGTGCGCTATGTGCGCAATAATATATAGTATACGATACCTACATATAATGTAAATAGGTACGTATAGTTGCCCACGTGCTATTCAACCAATATATTATTAGATCTTGTTATAGCATAATACTTTTGCAGCCACCATCGCATTCAGTTCTCCGCCAAATACCATATACTATGCAGCCATGACTTCCACCTACTTTTATGTATTAAATATATCACCGTTACGCCGTGTGCGTGTGGTCTGCATGCGTTGTGAATACATATGTAGGTATAACATGCAATCCGGTGGTTTTAATTTAAAATTTACCAACTGGTAATACTTAGGTATTGAGACATCCATTACTTATTGAATACAACATATAAACTTAATAAAAGAGTCAGAGACTGCAGTCGGACACGAAAAGCTATAAAGTGTAAAGACTGAAAACATTGTACTCGTACATATAGACACTCGAGTAGAATATGACATACCGAATATATATCATCACTATTTGGTTCTGTGGTATGAAACCCGCAGTAAAATCAGTATTATCTTTGATTATTAATATAGTAAAATATACTATATTGCATATAATGGAAATTAACAGTACACTATAGTACATACAAAATCTAGTTAAAAAGCATTCAAGAACTCATTAAATATGCTCGTAAACCATTTTGACTTGAAAAATTGTCCGTCAAGACTGCAGTGCTCCGAAAAAACGAACTAGAACTAAGGATGTTCTCAGGTTATCTATGCTGTATACGAGACACTATACGAAGAAAAAAATCCGGGCAGTTGGTAGTTACATCGTATCACACATGTGTGTTGTGTAACAGTTTTTGGCGAAAAATTAACAAACTGTCAGTTTTCCTTAACCCCCACATTCGCCAGATTTAGTTCCATATGATTTATTTTCTTTTCCAACGATAAAAATGATGCTTAAGTATCAACGTTTACGAGTTATGGATAAAGCAAATACGTAAATAATACCTAGGTTTGTATACCACTGATACCTATATTACAGTATACGTATAGCCGTATAGGTACATAATATAACGGGTACACGATTAATGAGCACAACCGTATCGTATACGCATTAAGCATTTATGCGCGCGTATAATACGAATAATAATATATAGGTGAGGATATTGCACGTCGCGGAGCGTGCGTGTTGTTTTTGGTCATGATGGCTCAGCAATAACAGTGCAACAACAGAGCATTTTCAAAGTTTTAGTTGTATTCCTCGCTTAGCATTGTTATACTAATAAGTATAACACACACACACACACACACACACACACACACACACATTATTATCATATGAACGCATAATACTTTCTACGACGTTTCGGGCGGGCGTGGAATGATGAAGATTATTATGGGTATATATACCTATCCGTTGTCCATCATCATTACGGTCGTCAGGTGTAAACGTGTGGTCAACGCACTTTGGGCCTTGACAAGGTCATCTGCGGCAACCGTTCCAACCACCGCCGCCCAATCCATATATAGAAACTGCAGTGGAAGTAGCGGCGGTGAGAGGTCTACGATGATGGTGGTGCGGTCGAGAGGACGATACATAATATTATGATTGTACCCATATGGCCATATACATAATACTCGGCGGTGTGACTACTGTATAGGCCCATGGCATGCCTCAAATGTATATTTTGTACTAACCTATAACCTACAAGTGATTCAAAAAGCATGCCTACCCCTAATTTTTCTTTAATAGTAAATTTATTCAAATTTTTATTTTAGATATTTTTAAATAGACTTTGAAGGTGTACCATTTAAATTATTTAATTTTTT